ATTCCCAGTAGGGAGGTTAGAAAACTGGATGTGGCAGTGCCCACCTCTAATCCCTGCCCTGGGAGTCAGGGCTGTGTGTGTTATAGGGTGCGGGTATGGACTGGCCACCCTGTCTAACCAGTTGGCGAGCTCTAGGTTCAGTGAGTGATGCTGTCTCAGAAAGTAAAGTGGAGAGCAGAGGGAGGGGACCCCTCCACAGGCACACACACACACACACACACACACACTTGTATACAGCACACACACACACACATACACACATACACAGTGGGGCAGTGGGGAAGAATGAACTTGTCCACTTGGACAAAGAGAAAGGAAGAAGCCTACTGTGAAGGAAAGGCTAATGGGTCCTCTGCTTGAATACCCAGGGGTAGCAGAAGGGGGAGGCAGGAAGGAAGAGGAATTGGAAATTATCGAAAGTCCTCGGAGAGACCCAAAGGCTGGAGTTACTAAGCAATGACCAAGAAGACAGGAAATGGGGACAGCAAGAAAGAAGAGGAAAGCCAGTCTTTGTCCCTACTAACTTTGTAGTTGTGACATGACCCATACACAGCTACATCACAGACTCCATTAAAAAACACAAACTAGAGCCCAGGGTGAGGGTGGAATTGTAAAAGGTCGGTCCAAAGGCAAATCAACAAAGAGGCAGGATCTTTCCATTCCCAAAGACAAAGGAGCTAGCTTTAATTGTGTTCCACATCCACTAATCATTTCCATTGGTACAATCGCCGGCTGCACCGCCTTCTGAGTTAACGAGGCAACGGAGCTTGGTCGTTCCTGTCCCCTTGTTGTTGTTGTTGCTAAACAGAATCCCCCTTCCCTCCCGAGTCCATAGCCACAAAGCAACCGTTAGTGTTCAGTGACCTTCCGCACCAGTTGTCTTTGGGGCTTTGAAATTGATTTTCCTCTTCTCAGTCTCTGATAGTCTGTCTTCAAGTGTGCTTCTCTAGTCCATTGCCGGAGTGAACACGGGGGCACAAATAGCGGGGGAACTAGAGGCGGGCGTCACGCAGGGCATCATTAGAGACACCAGGACGAAACCAGCCCGCTCCAGTGTGCTCTATGGTAAAAAGGAGCCGCTGCTGCTTTATTGCTAAATACAGTGGGGGAGGAGGGTCATATTCTCACATAAGCCATTCCCAAATATGGTTTGAGGAGTAAAGAAAAATTCAGTCTTTATTCTTCAAACCTCATATGGAAGCCAAGACAAAACATTTTTTTTAATAATTTTTTGCAGAATTTTTTATATCTGAGAAGCACATTTCCATAGCTGAATGCCCTGGCCAGGAGCTATGGACATAGGCTAATGACATGCAGAAACGGGCCTCATGGAGAATTAGGTGACAAGATCGTTTTCCCCAGTGGCAAGTCAATATACATGCTTTGATTAGCTGAATTTCAATCTTCATGGAATACGTGTGGCGTTATGAACATAAAGGAAGTGCTATTGGGCCTAAGGGGAAGCGCAGAAGGGCTGACAGGCCCCTATAGATGAGAACATAAACCTCACAGTGCCTTCTCGTTTATACATTGCAACAGTAAAGGCATTGTGGCCTTTCAAAAGACGGCGGGCTGTCCAAACCTCAACACTAGCCCAAATCTACCAGACGTGCAACCACGTGTTTTCTGCTAAAGCAAATACATGGGCATGGAATTTTCCTTCTCTGCCTAAAAACTTGTCCACGTGTGTTTACAGTGTCTATTTGAGGCTTCATGTGACCTGAAGGGGTCCGTTAGCATACAAATGATGATTGGGAAGTAAACCAACTTAAACTTTTATTAATTCTTTCCTTACATATTAGAAAAGTATCTGAAAATCCTGAACGCCCATTATTTTAAAATGGAAGATTCTAGTGAGGTGCTCCTTTTTCAACACTTTCTAAACTTGGAGATTAATCAAGCCCGTGCCCTAAGTCTCTTCTAATTTGCATAGCCATTTAGATAGCTAAGGAGAAAATACCTCACTTCTGGGAGTAAAACTAACCCCTCCCCCAAAATAATGTTTTGTCTTGCAGTAGAAAAAGCAATTGTATGCATTTAGTAAATTAGAAACTCTTGGAAGGAAACGGGTTTTCATTTTCACTAATATAGGTCAGTAATGTTGCTGAGGATTTGAACCCAGAGCTTTGTGTCTATATAGGCACACACTGCTCCTCTGAAGTTTACCCCTGGTTGGTGCATTTGTGTTTTTAGTGATATACCCAAGTTGCACATTTTTTAATCTAAAGAAATAATTTCAGGGCAATTTAAGCCTAGTGTTTGAAAGAGTTCCTTGCCACCACCAGTCACACAGCGTGTGCTGATATCTCGGGTTCGCAGATAGAAACAGAGACGACTGATTTGAAGTCAGCATCTGACAAACTCGTCATCTCATCATGCTTGTAGATATTCACATATCCAGTGTCTGCTGGGAAGGGCTGAGGCCATGGTCTTGAGTCCCACAGACTCAGGTTCAAATCCCATCCGTCGCTGAGAAGTTATTGAGACCACTTCGTGTCAACCAGTGCGTCGTTGCTTCACAAAATATCTGAGGCAACCAAAGGCACAGATGGTTCATTTGAGTGGAAGATTTTAGTCGACCATGGTCTGCTTCGTTGCTTTTCAGCGTGTGTTACGTCAGAAATAGCCTGCTAGGGAGGATAGAGAGGAATAATGTCCTTACCTTATCACAGCTAAGAAGGGGGAAGGAGAGGCACAGAAAGTGTGGAGTAGACGCAAACACACACACACAGAGAGAGAGAGAGAGAGAGAGAGAGAGAGAGAGAGAGAGAGAGAGACAGAGACAGAGACAGAGACAGAGACAGACAGACAGAGAGAGAGAGACAGAGACAGAGAGACAGAGAGAATGAGAACATGCTAGAGCATTACCTGTTGACCTCCTTGCTTCAGGTGGGCTTCGCCTCCCATTGTTCACCACCTGCCAATAACGCCCTCCCTTTTCTGACTCTTCCATTGGATAGACATACTGATGAGTTTAGTAATCACATGACCACCACGCTGGGTGAGTTCCACCCAGTAAACCCAGCCATCCTGTTCCATTTCCTAGAGACTGCCAACCCGGCAAATCTTCTTTATCTTTTCTTCTCTAAGCACTAATATACCTAAACCCATGAGCTTGTTCCCTCCTCTGTCCAACACTCCCGTAGCACTTACTATGTTTGAAGTATTTTATAGTCTTCTGCAGTCGATTTAAACCTCACAAGTCCGATGACTGAAAAGTACAGAGAGAGGTTAAGGAACTTTTGTCGAACATGCCTAGTGAATAGGAAAGATGTTAAACGTTAGCAGTCCGGCTTCCCAGGTCTGTGCTATGAACTTCTTAACCCGTTTGATATATTTAGCCTTTTTTAAATACCCCGTAAGCATATGCGTGTTTAAAATGGAAAATGCTTAGCTATGAACCCCATAAACGCATCTTCTATAAAGGCTATACCGTACTGCGCAGAGAATGAAAGGACCCTTCTAACCTCTTGAATTTGAAAAATTATAGCCTGCTGACTGCATTGGACACCTTCGAACAGGATATGATAATAGTTTATGTTAAGGCTTGAATGTGAGCAGTGTTATCATGCTAAACAAAAGCCATGAAATGCGGAGTGTTTTTCAGTGTGAACATTTTGACTGTTAAGAATCTAACTGAGGTGGTCATGTGGTGGGGAGTGGATCTGGGTGGAGCTGAAGTGGGGATAAGGGATTGATATGGTCAAAATGTATTTTATACCTGTATGAACTCCTCAAAGATTGAATATTAAAAAGTCAAAATAAAAGAATCTTAGAATCGGTCACCTTTTCCAGAGAACTTTTACTCAGCGTTCTTGGCATCTTGTTCCTTGAATTGCTGCTTAGCCATTTGCAAGCTGCGGTTCTGAGGCCGTTTGCCCATTGTTAGATGGTTCAGTTAGGGAATCTGTCTCTGTGACCGACAGGCCACTGCGCTGATCTCTCTGTTTATTTAGACTTGGTCTTTAAACTGTATCCTGTGATTCTCTCCCTCCGCCAGGCCCCACAAGACTTACCCTGCTGATTACATTTGACAAATGCTAAAAATAAAACAGTTGACCACCTCCGAGACCTGACCGGCTGCCCTTGCCGGCTTAAGAGTCCTCAGCAATAGGGGAGCAGGCAAGAATGAGATCATTGCCATGGCTACCCTGAAAGTCAGCGAGGCGGCAGAACATGGGCAGGACATGGGCACAGGCTTCTACATGAGCACACATTGTCCTGCACCATACATACAAGCACAGCTGTGAACCATGACTAACTTTATGATATGATTCAGAGGAACCACTCTCGAGGCCATTCTTCATGTCCAATGAAGTTCATGTACAAAGTCAGTTCTCACCGTTCACTGTGTGGGTTCCAAGGATGTTACAGCAAGCTTCTGCTCAGGAGACAGTGTGACTGGGGTGATCCTGTAGTCTCTCAAGATGTCTACTGAAGCTGTAGGGGATACTTGTATGCATATGCCCTGACATGCTTGGAGCCCACACGCAAGCTGTCTTCCATACATGTTCCATGCCGTGGCTGCATGTGTACACACACACACACACACACACACACACACACACCTCAAATAAATAAATAAATAAATAAATAAATAAATAAATAAATAAATGTAAAAAATAAATGTCACATGAGCCAGGGCTTGGGATGTGTTTCCGCTGGTAGAGGGCTTGCCTAGCGTGTGGGAGACCTTGGGTTTGGTGCCACACTCCTCATAAACTAGAGGTGGCACCCACCTGCAATCCCAGAAAGATCAGAAGTTCAAGGTCATCTTCAGTTGCAGAGAGAGTTCAAAGCCAGCCTGGGTTACCTGAGATCTTATCTCCAAACAGAATGGATGAGGTCAATGAGAGGAAGGGAGGGCGGGAAAGAGAGAGAGCCTGACTCCGCAGGAGACACAGTAGAGAAGTAGCCTGTGTGTGTCCGTACTTTGTCACTCTTTGTCACTCCGATCTTGACGTGCCCGTGTCTCACGACGATATTCTCCCTTTCTGCAGGCATTTCCTATTCAAAACAGGGACAGGGACAACGCCACTGTTCAGTACGGCAACCCCGGGTTACACGATGGCATCTGGCTCTGTTTATTCACCGCCTACCCGGCCACTTCCTAGAAACACCCTATCGAGAAGTGCTTTTAAATTCAAGAAGTCTTCAAAGTACTGCAGCTGGAGATGCACCGCGCTGTGCGCTGTAGGGGTCTCGGTGCTGCTGGCCATCCTCCTGTCCTACTTCATAGGTAAGAGCGTGGCTTAACCCCGTTTGCCCGTCAGTTGATGTATTCTAGTAGTGTGTTGTTAGTTGATCTGGAGTATATGATGAGGTATGACCTTGTAACGTCAATGTTGTTGACATATGGAAATGTTTCAGGGATTTCAGTAGATTTGATCAGTACAAAGACTGGCCTGTGTAGTTCATTTCCTTAAGTGCTAAGTATATTCTTGGATACAAATATTATTCTTTTTATTGATGCCATCATTCATGAAATATTGGTCACTATGACATTTCCTACATACAAAATCATTCATGGACTTTCAGGAGTCAACACGAGGTAGGAATCTCTTTCAATTCATGCCCATTAATTAGGGACTCTCTGATCTCTGTGCTATAACGTGTGATTCCATGAACTCAGCTGTCTACATGTAAACTTGATCACTCAGGACTGTTATCTTCTCTTCAGGAACACCCCAGAGAACTGAGCCTCTTAAACTAATGAATGGTTACACGCTCGTTCGTATATGTGAGGTTTTCACCTCCTCTAATGCATGGCTCGTGTTTTGCACTTAGTCAAAACCCGGATGCTAGAGCCCCTATCTTCCTTTTGTTTAACTATTTCAGAATGTATTTGAGCATTTATACTGCTGGCAGTGGCTTTCATAAATGTCAGAAAAGCTACATGGTATTCTGATCTGCTTCTATGGCAAAGGAAAAGCCTTCCACATTGAAATGCTAATGGTGCCCACTAAGATAAATCACAGGCTGTGTGGTTTATACACCAGGAACAACAGCCAGCGATGCATCGCCAAGTTTACAAAGCAATTTGTGATGCCCCATGAAATCCCATCACTACCGACGAGTATCCCAGAGCTCGGAATAGAACGCTAGATGCTCTTGCGGTGGGCCTCTCCCTGCCAGTCCCTGCAATGTTCCTCAGATATAATTTACATACTTTGGAATGTGAAGTAACCGTTTTTTGAGTCTCTGTGGTTAATGGAAATGCAGAACTCTAGAGCATGGAAGAACTTGGGAGATAATTGAGTCAGGGATGGCAGCCGTGTGGCGTGTTACGGACTGTTATTTCGAATTCTTCAACTGTGGATGACACCACTAATGATTCAGAGCTCAGGTTCTCTCGGAACATGGAGACATCCTCGTTATCCTCATCAGGATGCTCAGACAACGGCGCAGCAGTCGCCAGCCATCCATCAGAGGGAAGCAGGATGAAATGCAGCCATCATATATATATATATATATATATATATATATATATACATATACATATATATATTTGCCAAGTTTACTTTCTTCTCCTAAGACAGCAGCAGCCCACGCACCGTACATAACAGCATCACACCCGGGTGAGGCCACACTGTGCTTCTGATTTTCCCGGCAGCATCAACATTCAGGGTTAACTTCTAGTCCTCAATTAGAAAATACCCTGGCCATTAAGAGAATCCTCTCCAGTTAGCTGTATAAATTATTTGTAACTGTCAGAAGTGTGCCGCTGAAGAATTCTAAATGAATTTGTGATGTGCAAGTCTTATATGGAACGTGACCAGTTACCCAGATGAGTTTGTAGGGGATTTTTTTTTAACGTGATGTACCCCAGATAGATGCTGTGGCAGGGCCGGCCGGCATCCAGAGTTGGGCTGGCCAGATCTGTATCTGTTGTGATTGGCGAGTGTCGATCCTTGCAATGGTTTGAGGGTCGGCTGGATGTGATCCTGTTTTATTTTTTGTAGTGTGACTGCCAGGAAAAGTATCACTCAGTGTGGGTTACATGGTGCCACTTGCATTCTCTCTACGGGATCCTTTAATAAATAGAATTATCCAGCTTCTAAATAAAACCTCAAGAATCTGCTCTTTCCTGCATTGCCTGACACATTGTTCAGCCATCAGCATCATACTCTGCATCTCTGCATCTTCTGGTCCCTCTGGTGCCCTTTTCCCTCTACTGCTCCAATGACCCATCCTTGGACTTTGCTCTTCCATCACTCAGGCTGATTGTTAATGTGAAGCAAAAGCTTAAGAAATGAGGGATTTAAAAAAAAGCTGAAGGAATTATTCCAGAATATTCAAGAATACTCTTTATACCTTCCAGTGCAATAATGAAAGGCTAAGAATTGTGTCTGTCCCCTGCCTCTTTCCTGAGATGAAATCTCAGAAGGGTCACAGTGGATAACTTCTAAAACACGGAGAGGAGGGGGAGGCACACAGACTTTGTTGTTTGTTCTTCCCTGTTTCTATCAAACCTTCAAAGAATACAGAAAGACCTACGAAGAAGGTGAAAATTAATTGCGATCATAGGACACCGCTCTTAGCTTTTAGGTAGGCAAAGGTGCTTGCTGCTAAGCCCAACTGTCTGATTGATCCCTGTACACAGCGGAAGGAGAAAGATGGCTCCCTCCAGTTGCCCCTTGTAGCTCTTTCTCCATGCATGTGTGCAGCTTGGGATCCGTGATGTATCCCTATGTTCACCAGTCTTTCCTCGGGTATTTGCTAGACGCTATCTATATCATTTTACTTACTGGTCCCCAAAATGCAGTAACTGTTCTATGCATGTGACAATGTCTCTGTTGGTGTGTGCTCATTTGATCAAACTCTATCGCTAGAGATTCTTTGAAGGAAGCTGCTGCACAGGTGCACTTTGAACTTTGTAACCCACTTTGCTGTCGCTCTCGTTTACATGAGCACCAATGCTGCAGTTGGCTTTATATTTTATCATTACTTTTAACCATTTCCAGCCTCTTACATTAAACAGTTTTTGTTTTAATATATTCCGAGTTATAACTTTTAATGTTTGTTGGTCGTTTGTAGTTCTTACTTTGGATTTAGATCAATTTTCCTCCATTTTCCCATTGGAGGTCTTTTCCTATGTATTTTTTGCATTGTGTATTTTTAGTTCTTGGGGGTGTGGCATGCACATAGCACAGAATGTGTGGGCAGGGCTGAGGACAACTTTCAGGACGCAGCTCTGTCCCCTGACTCGGTATGGTGCGGCTGTCAACCAGATTGTCAGGATAGGCAATGATCACCTTTACCCGCTGAGTCACCTCATTTGCCTTCTATTCCTTGTGTGTGTGCGCATGCGTGTGTACGTGTGCATATGTGTGTGCACACATGCATGCGTATAAGTGTGCATCTGTGTGTGCGTGCATATGTGTAAGTGTGTGTATGTCTGCATGTGTGTTGAGAATGGCTAGGGACAGGAAATGGTCTTGCTACATAGTTCTTGCTGGTGTGATACTGGCTCTGTAGAGTAGTCTGGCCTCAAACTCACAGCAATCCTCCTGCTCCCCCCTTCTCCATATTGAGATTACAGGAGGGATCCGCCACATCTGGCTTCTCTGCTTTATTTTTATTATATTTTATTTTACCTTGAAGCAACATTTAAGATGTGAATGTTTTGCCTTCTATGTTAAATATTTTTATAACATTATTAATTTAATTGTTGATTAGATATATCAATTTTCCTTGCAATTTATAGCTCTCACACCATACTTGTAAAGTCTATATTTAATCTAAGAAGCAGTCTAAAAATACTCTTAAGTTTATTCAGGAACTGCATTACTTTTGATTGGTGCTAGGCAGAGATCCAGGCCCTCCTGCACGCTGCTAGGCGAGTGCTCTCCCAGTGACCCGCAAGCGCTCTGCTGGTGAGCCCTACTCCAGTTCCTCAGTAACCACTGAAGTCAGTGTTTTACTATATCCTCTGGTAGATATTAAGAGTTCAAGTTGGCTCTCTTTCTAGAAACTCAGAGTCAAGGCATCAAGCTGTGTGTATACCCTATCTTTAACATTACATGCTTCCCTAACCCTCCATGGCTAAAATAACAAAAAAGCAAAGAAGGAAAATACATAGCTTTAGCTAAAACACTGAGCCAAAAATTTTATGTAACCAGGTTTTACTTTATCTACCAGCGTATGGGGGGGAGGGGGAGAGCATATATACGACCACACATTACCTGTGTGTCTGTGTGCATGTGGAGTCCAGATGTCTTCATCCGTTACTCTCCACTTTATGCTTTGAGAAAGGGCCTCTTGCTGAACCTGGAACTAGCTCACTGTATAAACTGAGTGGCCAGAAAGATCCAGATAGCTGCCATCTCTGACTCCCCAACACTGCAGTCACAGGCATGTGCCACCACTCCCAACATGAAACGTGGATGCTGGTGGTGGGAACTCAGTACTTCATGCTCACATGGCAGGCACTTGGTTGACAGAACTATCTCCCTAAGAAGGTGACCTATCTTTGTTTCTTGAACTGGGGCTTGAGAAGTGGCGTGTGGGGTGGGAAGGCAGTGGGGGTGGGGAGTGGGGAGGGTAGGGAGTGTCTGATAATAAGAGAGACCTCTGAAGGGAGGCATGTGAAGAGGAGCTTAGCTTATCAACAGCGGTGCTGCGGGAACACACACCAGACATTGCTTGAGTTTATGTGTAAATTTCCTCATTTAATTTCCGCAGCCCAACATTTTATCCCCATTTAGCTAAAGTAAATTTGTTGCTTCAAAAGGAAGCCTGCCTGAAGTCACATGGCTGAGACACGAAGGAGAAGGGTTCAGAAACTGTCACGTACCCCATTGTATTTTGTCTGTGTTCCATGAGGTTTCTATAGAACCCGAAACAGGAAAGAGATTTACGAAACGTAAACATGGCAGTGGAAATTCATGCCGTCTGTGTTTATGGGGTGGCTTTGGGGGCATCCCAGAAGAGGTGACTAAGGAATGCAGTGTCGATTTGTGCCTCTCACACCTGAGCGTGCCCAGGTGCCACTTCAGGTTCCCGCTGAAGCTCGTAGTCTGAGTCAGCAGATCTGGAATGAGAACCAAGGTTGTGGATTTCCAGCAGGCCCCCCGGTGCTGCTGCTGGGTCCACAGAACATATTGGGGCGTCGAGGATCCCCGTGGCGCTGTCAGATGTTCCGTCTGATGATAGAAATGCCCCGTTGGCACACTGTCCAATTCATTAGCCACCAGTCACATCTGGCTGCTGAGCGCTTGAAGTGTGGCTCGTTAATTT